AACCTGATTTTTGCAATTTTAAACAGTAGGGCCTGATTTTTGATTTCATGATAGATAATACTTGATCCATGAATTTTTCCCAAAACTCAATTGCACTTTGGGGCCCACCTTGTTGATTTTTGTTCTTGTGCTCTGGATCATGAATGGTGATCTCCTCATTGTTGTGATCATGATCCATTTGAATCTTTAAAAGTCCAAAAGTTTGCAAATGCAAATTATTGAAGTTATAGCTAGCCTTTTTGTTGTGCTAGTTAATTATAGCTTTTAACATTGAAGAGAAATTGAATCATAGGTAACAATTATATTATTTTAACATGAGTCAACTGAAGATGAAGCTAAAGATTTTTTGAAGTTTGTTATCCCTCATAAATCTTATTTATGAAACTCTACGTTTCAAGCCTACGACAAGTGATGAGACGTCTGGTGGATAAGACATAAATAAAGAGTTTTTTCTTTTTTTTTTTTTTCCTAACAACTTAGGCCTTGTATGGGAGGGATTAAAATCGGATTAAAATTGAAAATATAGTCGTTATTGTTGACTTTTATTAGACGAGTGGGATCCAATAACGGCCATATTTTCAATTTTAATTGACTTTTAATNTTGAGTGTTATCAATTCTAATTAAGAACTTTTTTGGCATTAAGGCCTTGTATGGGAGGGATTAAAATCGGATTAAAATTGAAAATATAGCCGTTATTGTTGACTTTTATTAGACGAGTGGGACCCAATAACGACCATATTTTTAATTCTAATTGGCTTTTAATCCCTCCCGAACGGGGCCTTAAACTCTCAAATGAGTTAATTCAAGACTCTCGAGATCAGGCATCTTGTAGGAGTGCTCATGACATATTTAGTAGATAGGATTTGATGACACTTGATGGCATAAGAAAATGAAGTTAAAATTAAAACTGTGTAGAATATATTATCAAAGTCTAGTTTAATACTACGCGTCTAATATACACTAACGCGCTAAAGGGTTAGAAATGTAAAAAATTAATGAAACACTTGTATCAAATTCCAAAACCATATTATGAGAGTTATCATGATTATATTACTATGGTAAGTGGATGATTACCATATTCCATATTTAGAGGGAAATTTCAGTTAAGATCTAGTGAGGCCACTTCTAGTTAGTGGTTGATTTGCTGTGTATGATGGTTGACTCCACTTGTGCAACATCGACTATTTGTTGGACCTTCCAATGAATATATTATCAATGATCTATGTGTGTGATACTGTAATCAAGACGGCTAGATCAACATTTTACGTATGTTTATCACATTTCTTTTACCTATTCTACTTAGGACAAATATGATATTTTGGTGGGGATTTTGTAGCATAGGGTAGGGTAGGGTAGGGGTGGGGTAGGTTAGGTTAGGTCTATGGAGATATTGGTTGATTATATCATGATCCAATAGATCATAGCATCCAAAAGTACTAAAACAAATTTGATTCTAATATGTTCTTTTTAAAATAGAATTGTGGAGAGGTAAATTATAAAGCACTATTTTTGTTACAAAATTTCAAATTTAGTGTTGATTTAAAACGAAGATCTTACTTTACGTTATAGAATTCTTTGTATATCTGTTGATTGATCCATATGCTGCTATATCCCATTAGTGATAACCCCAATATTCCCGAGGCATGATTAACAATTGATTTTATTACCAAAGTAAGGAACCATTTTCAGTTAAATCATAAATGACTACTAGTTTTTAACTGTTAACATTTTCGCAGTTGCTACACTCTTCACATCCCTTTTGGCAGGCCTCAATTGTGTAATAAAAAAAGAAATAGAAATTACCTGCTCAAAAATTAGAATCGGACTCATCACTGATTCACAGTTGACGGTTGCGTCGGTTGGTCTATGAAACTGGCGGAAGTATCAGCAGAAGCGTAGTAACGACTAGTTGATGGTCGACCATGACTCACGACTCGTAGACGGCGCAGTTAGGGTTGTTTTGAAATGTGAATAAATTGTGATCTGTGGAAGAGAAGGGAAGGGAGGAAAAAAAAGGAAGGAGAGACCGGAGTTCGGAGACAGCGGCGTTGGAGTTGAAAGGGAAGGAGAGGATGATATGAATACGCGATTTGATTCGTTTAGTATTAAAAAAAAAAAAAAAACTTTAATTGGGCCAAAATTGAGACCCCTTCGATTTTGGGCCAGACGGAAAAAAAAGGGCCAAAAGTTGAGGCCCCCTCCAGTTTTGGGCATGAGGCCAGTTTTGGGCATGAGGCACAGGCCTCATCCGCCTCGTCTCAGGGCCGGCCCTGGATGTGATGCTTAGAGTTCCTTATTCTTATTATCTTTATTTCTTTCATCAATTTCTTCAATTTAAATATGAACCTAAAACAGCTTCTATTGTTGTTTCAACTTCGAGTTTTATATATTCTCCTATTGTAAATTCTTCCATAACTCTAATCCCCATGTCTTTCTTACATCAGTTTGATGCTGTTGTGAATTGATAATGTCTACGACTTTTGTATGCTGCTTAAGTCAACTTCTTCAAGCCATGGATCTTTACAGTATTAACCAACAGGATAGACCTTTTAACTTAATCAAGGAAATTTGCTTGTTGCACACGATGAAATTCTGAAGCAAGGTATTGTCTCTGGAGAAGTATATACAAAGATTTAATGAGCTAATGCCGTGGTGTCCAATCATGGAAAGTGCAAAGAAATCAACTGCTTGCTTCATGGATGCCTCTTGAATTCAATTCCTATAGGCATCTAAATAAGCGCGTGTATATCATATACAGATATTTTGAATAATTTATCAAAAAAAAAAAAAGGTACCGTCGGGACATTCAATGGTGTAAAATACTCTATATAAGTCTATAAGCACGCGTATGCCATCTTTAATCTTCCACTATCTAAACAATGATGTACAGATGAGAAATCCTTGAAATTGAATTAATTTC